GCCCCATACCCTGGACAGCCAAGCTGCGAAATAATCTTCCGCAAACCTCTACCAAGCATGATCGGGCGAGTGTTTTTGAAAAGCCCCTTTCGATCGAATCTAGGTCCCAATGCGAGAAGTTGTCAACTGGTCTGGATGAGAAATGGGTTGACAATCTCAGGATTCAAGTCTGCACTCTTGCTCTTGATATCTGATGATATTTGTCCCACATTTGTATCTATAGTCACTATGTCCAGCTGCTTGGGATTATCGGGGGACCACGCGAGATTACTAAATATCTGGCCTACAATCCAGGCTCGACTCAAAAATAGCCCGTTTGGTCCTCAAATCCAATCTCTTGTCAAAAATTACCTTAAAGCCCTTCTCAGGTCAGGGTTGGGTTCTCGAGGAGTGCACTGCGCTGAACAACTGTCGGCGTATTGCGACCTAAACGACATTTTACCCACGAGGGTATGGGCAGAGTTGCTTAAACAGGACAACAGTGAGGGGCTGCAGAGAATCGTTTCCAGTCAGACAGTAAACGGGATTATGCATTCGACGCTCACCTCCATAGAAAACAGACTGGGTATAACCTGGAATCATGTTGACGGAGGACGCCATGTTAAAACATCTGACATGGATCCTTTGTGGGACCATTGGCCTGTGGATGCGGTACTCCCCAGCCTTGATCCAGATGCTAAATCAACTGGATCATCAGGTTGTTTACAGCGACTCCTTGAAGAAATAAAACTTTATGGGTCCTCCAAATCAACCACGGAGCTTGCGAGGGTCGCTAATTTATTACATGACTTTGAGGGTTGCGAGATTCCTCTTGGTTCTAGAAAGGGTAAACACGACAAAACTCTCGAGTTCGCCTGGTTCCCGCATTGCTGCCCGATCGAATTTTCCAATAATGCTCCGCCGTCACGTTACAATATAAATGGTCCACAATCTCCTTCGTCCCTGGGCTTAATCCGTGCTTTTCACGGTTTCCACGGCAAAACAATTAGGTTGAGTAAATGGAACTTGTATCTGATGCAACTTGGTTACCTCTGTGAGAGAAGCCGAGGTTTCGCAGAAAGTGGCATCAACGGTACAACAAGAGATTCTGAAAAGTGGACAGCCACAGGTCATATTATCTGCTGGGATCGGCTTAATCATCACCTCATGATACTCTTTCTTGGAAAAGGCTTAGGGGTCATAGATCCTGGCTTCTATCCCGAAAAGCCACATCCATACCTCCCTTCCGTTGCAAACCTGACCTCAAAACCGTGGAATAATTTCCAGGTTGAGTTCTCTGAAAACTCCGGTTTTCTTTTGCCATTGCGAATCCGTTATTGGCTAGATGTTGATCCCGCGGCTTACCTTGTCCCCTGAACCAGCCTAGCAGATTATATACGAAAAGCAATGTCTCTTAGTTACACACGGTGTGTCACTCAATGCAAAAGTTCCCACCGTCAACTTATTTCCGCAATTTCAGCATCCGCTTCATAATCACCTTCAGTATCATGATAAATCACCAGAAGAATATCTGATTAACATGAGCGTAAAGTCGAAACGACCTTGCACCCCCATCCATTGGAGGCCCGCCTGGGAACGCTCTTCGTCTACCATGGATTGCTTCGTTTGTCTTCCTTCCGAAGCTGCGAACTGTCCTGCAAGTCGTAAAGAGGTGCAGTGAGTGCGGACATAACCATCGATTCTACTTTAAGTTGAGTCAATTTTGTGGCGCCTGGCATTGTGGCGTTGATGTCTCCCTGCAAATAATTTGGCGGCTATTGGGGGCTTTGGAGGTCTTAAATCTTTTCCTTCATATCCATATTTTGTTAGCTATCAACGCAACCTAAAATTATCCCTATATATCCGATAACCAAATTTGTGGCTATCAATACCATCGAAATGTAATATAGATTTGTTCATTGTACAGTACTTCGTTGGCTTTACGCACACGTTCTCTCACTTCGCTCTTTGGCTGTATTCTACATTCCAGGACCAGAAGCTATGCATGGGATGTAATTGTTCTGGCTGCTTCACATTTGCTCTTGATACTCACTGTTGTGGTAGTGCTTTAAACGTGCTTAGATCCGAGCACTCCACATCAATGTCGTATCTACTCGGCTGGCGGTTCTACATTCATGCATATCCTGCAGTTGATAATGCTGCAAATTCTTTCTGCTGCATTTCTTTCCATCTCCGGCGGCCCATGCATTTTTTTTATTCACAGAACGCCCCCCGATATTCGCTATACGCAGCTTCATTGGTTGACAGTTCAACAAAAAGAAAACATCGAGAGAAGTTTCTCAGCCAGGAAATCCCGGACTAATATGCCTATGGCTTTGATGTTGGAAACGCATATCAACGATTGATGCTCGAGATTTGGCCCAAGCAATTCAGACACTCGAATAGGCATACACACATATTGGCCCCACACAGTCGGGGGGAACAGTTTCCGGCATCCATGCGGATGCAAGTCTTCCTTCCACATTCAAAACCTTACAGGGCCTTCACGGCACCCGTAGTGGCGCCTCTGTTCGGTTCCTCGTGCAAGGGGATCTCCCAACCGCTGAAGCCGCTGGCAGGTACGGATAGTTTTCACACAGGCAAATCTCTTTTTTCTTTTTTCTTTTTTCTTTTTCTTATTATTGCTTTTTTCTTATCTTTTCTTTTCTTTCTTTTTTTAACTTGAAAAAAGAAAACATAACGTGCATTAAATGTGATAGATCAGCTTCTGTCAAGCCCATCACAAGGGCTGCTGCTGGCCTATCAAAATCAATTTCCAGGTCTGTTGTTCGAAGAGGGAACCTAGGCAGACAGTCCAGGGACTTGGAGCAGTATCAGAGTGACCTTTGAGCGGCCAGCTGATCAAAGAAGATCTGAGGATAACAGTGCCTCAATTTGGACCCCTCCCTGTCTCCATACCTCAGAATATAAAGCCAGCCATATCAACCTCAAGCAAAATAATAGCTCTTCCAGGAAGTTCCATGCGTCGACTACTCAGCATGGCCTGGAAACCAGCAGAAGCAAGCCGATATTATGCAGTTGACAGTTTTTTTAGTCCTGTGGTCAGGATTCTTAGTGGCAACGAAATGCAAACTTGGATTTCTATGCTTTTTCGGACCGCATTGCTACCCACCAAATAGCAGACTCGCTATGGTGTCACAGATGGGCCGATAGTAGCCAAAGGAGACAATGATACAGAAAAATTGTGCATTCGACCAAAAAAAGAAAGGAAAAAAAGGAAAAGGAAAAGGAAAAAAAATCAAACACGTAGTTAACGTTTTGGCCAGAGATATTTGCTTTGCTTCAGCACACTCCAATAACGGCCTGCTCAGCCTGCTTTGGTAAACGATGCATTTACCCGAACGTCATATTATCTGACCCAAGCCATACAGGCTGGGCCTGGCCGGATATTTCTAATGACTATCTTTGAGATTAGGTACAACTCACACGGCAGCAGATGCAAGTTTTCAAGAGGCATTCGACGCTCCAATACCGAACTATTAGAAAGACGCCTGGCAGGGTTCGCCGATTCGGGAAGCAATCGCTTTCACATTTGAACAATGAACGGCAAGCAGAGCCCAGCGAATGTGGATGGGGCTTTCAGAATAGAGCCCGGACAACGATCTATCCATGACTATGAGAACCTTGTGCGCAACTCCCTTCGGCTCTTGGTCTCATGCAATCTATTGCGGCATTGTTTAAACTATGAGAAGTTATTCATCCAATTTCCCCAGCCACCACTGCTTCCGCAAAATATGACTCCGAAAACAGGCATGTGCATCAAATCCCATCTTACGTGGCTGCTCGCCCGGCTGGCAAACAAAGGACAGAAAAGCAAAAACCCTTCCGATCCATTTTCTACGGGAATGGAGCCTTCTGCATCTCTGGGTCTCTTTTGGCCGATAGATTATATTGGTATTTTTCTTGTTTCCTTCAGTGCCAGGCAACTGAACATAGCGCTGGAGTAACGCAACCGCGCAGAGATTCGATGAGGCAACCATGGCCCCGGATCAGCTCTCTGTATGGCACAACGTTTCTTTTGCGATTTCGGAGAGCGGGTCGTCCTCCACGACCTTCCCTCCGAAGCGACTCTAAGGGAAAATAGGGTTTGGCAATCTTCGATATCATATCGATGGAAAATGGTTGGCTATAGTCTCAACTTGTAAGCCCACCCAGATGCGGAATAACCGTCTTTGCCTAAAAATGAGGACGACTATAACGATCCCTATCCTAATTCAAGAGGCATCACGTCGACGTTCTAGATGTGGCGGCCTAAAGCAAACGATAAAAGAGCAAGTGAGTGAATTTGTAGCTATGATATGACAAGATCAGCGCTTGCATGACTTTCCACGAGCATAGCCAGCAGTATGGGATGATAAAACTGCCTTGCTTCTCTAGTCTCCTTCAGTAGTTATCAGATGAACCGGGTCTCATATGATTTCCCACTATATGTGCACGCTCCATCGACTCAGATCCTCCAGCCCGTGTTGATTTTGGCGGTGCATACATACAGGCCCATCTGACATGGGGCTGGCATGTTCCATTGTAAGGTGAAGCCCAGCCTTGCCTTCCGACCATATTTTTTGACATATTCCCTCGGATGGGATGAGAGTCATCATTCCCCTTGCTTTGCTTTCTTTTCTTGTCGATTCTCTCGCTATCGGAGTTTATATCCTGACATGTATTGTCTAAGAGTAAGACCTAGCAGGAATCCGAGCATCAAGTTACCCGGTTTTGTCCATGTAAACATATTCCTTATACAATAAGGAGCAGCGCTCATGACCTGGAAGCTGTGTCTGGGTGTTTATCCAGTACTATTAAACTATAATTATGAAACCCAAAAGCGGGTGCGCCTCTGAAAGCGACAGATGAATCGTCCCATCAATCCACAGAAAAAAGAAGGTAAGACATGTTATGGCCTGTCATGCAGGATTTGAGGGCTGAGACCTCGCAGCTTCCTTCGGTCCTGATTGTCCATCTCTCAACCCAATAATGGATCTTGAATGGGGCAGATCGACTAGCGGGACGAATAGGCAAGAATATTCTCCGACATAACCTACGTGCACGACATATTCCCGGCTGGAAAATCACCAACAGGTTCAATATTTCGGTACAACCTGCCCTTGCTTAATAATACGAGCTGCCCACGCTTTGATCATTCAAGGGTTACACAGAGAGCGGTTTACTCTCCGAGAAGCCCTTATCTGGACCTCCCTATTCATGCAATCCTCCGGTAAATCTGGAAGAGGCGTTCGAGCCGCCCCCTCTCAACTCGGAGACAACAACCCGGCCGGTTAAAAAAACGTGTGAGTCCCGCTCTTCCCTTCTCCCAGATTGTAGGTCTTCGTTCCAGCCCAATCAAAAATAGGCAGAAAATAACGCGAAAAGATGAACTAGTGCACCCTGTGTGAATATTGACTGTTTGATATAAATGCGCACACTCTTCTGATAAACAACGTAATATCAACAGCTTCTCGAAGAGCAATGCCTTCAAGCTGAATTATACCAGCACTCCCATGTCTACTTCTGTGCCTTCGGGCTTTGGGAATCTGTTGCACCCACAGCCACCACCGCCACCACCACCAAAAACAGACTCAAGCGCGCCGTTTCGTTCACGCCTCCGCTTGTTTGTGCGCCAACACCCCATTGCTGCTCGTGCCTGCGGATTCGGAGATAAATGTCGAAGGCCTATTGATCCTCTGCCGGTCATCCAACTTCTGATGACCGATTTCTCCCCCCAGTCCGAGGAAGATATGAGGCAGCTCACAAACAAGCAGCATGTTGTCACCTGCCAACTACATCCGGTCAGTGAAGCATGCGGAGGGTATCCCGAGCACAGAATTCGGTCTCGAAGCAATGCTGGACACCCTTTCGAAAAAAGAGGGATTGGAGCCGTTAACAAAGCTGGCAGCAACCTGACAAATAGGTATCGTGGCAGAATTCTATCTGGAAGCACATGTGCGAGTCTATTCTCGGTCGACCAAGACCCAGATCCAGCCCATGCACCTCCCCACCCACGCTCAGCGGCGAGCCAAGAGAAAGGTCCAGGTACATCTCTTATGCTGCCTCCAGGATTTTCATCGCCTTCAGATGCTCCACGATATATTCCTGCCGCTTTTTTCATTTTCGCCGACCTCTGCGTCCGCTCAGCTGGTTGGTATCAGCTGCGGTTTCAGCTAGTGGATGTCCAAGAAACCGAGAAATTGGGAAGCACCCCATGCCTTGATGAGGTCTGGTCTCAGCCCTTTCGGGTTTTTGCGGCGAAGGATTTTCCTGGCATGAGACCAGCGCCTTATTTGACAACAAAACTAAAAGACTTGGGAGGGGTTGGTATCAAGACGCGGGAGAAAGAGCGGGGTTGCGACA